TGAGGCTGGACACATCGTCCCCAATTTCCACGGTCTCATGCTGTCAGGGCATCTCTTCAGAACTCAATACAACATCGTAGTACTTTCGAGGGGTCGGCTTCAAAAAAAGGCGCGTCACTGCACCAGTATGCATGCTTTGCTGTACGTTGTCCTACCACCAGTCTGCGAACCCTGAGGCTGGCTGCAAACTGTACTACAGGAGCTGCAGTTTGCTTCTGTTGTCAGGCAGCTGGGCCTCGACCTGCCTCCGCCGACTTCACACGCTCCTCCGCTCTGCTGTGAGAGGATCTTGGCCCGTTGCCGCACAGCTACTGTACATCTTAACACAGTATATACCCATGCACATGTATGTACGCATCGCCGCATAGCTGTATGCTTACTCTAGATTTGCCCCTTCATTCAAATGCAGATCACGAAGCGAGCTCCTCCATCGACACAGCAGGATCGACACGTATGTGTATGTGTATATCGATGTGTATATGTATATGTATATATATATATATATTACCCAGATGCAGAGCCTTCGGATGATGCCATGTGGGAGCCAAGATTACACAGATGCACATATATATATATATATATAGATATTATATCATATATATATATATAATCGTATATAATATATAAGATATATAACATAATATAGTATTTAATATTTGGTATATAATATATAATATAGTTAACATATATATATATATATATGTATATAATAATAATATATGACAAGATCATACAAACCGAATATAACATAAACTAATATACGATAAGATAATGTAATGTAATGTTGTAATGTAGTATAATGTAGTGTAATATAATACAGTATAGTATGGTACACTATACTATAATATAGTACAACATAAGAATATAATGTAGTATAGGTTCGCTGATGCAGGCCTCACTACTCAGATAGAGGCTGAAGGGCTGGTACCGACACGACCCGCCCAGCACAGGAAAGGGCCTGTATCTGTCAACTCAGAACTGCAACAAAAGAGCCTCAAATTTTACGGTGAGTCGTCAGGAGAAGGTTCGCACTCCCCCTTTTTGAGGAGCCAACCTTCAACTTGATTTGTTTCAAAGTGCTGTCACGGTGCGTTCTCCACCTGTGAACGCCTCAGGCCGTACAACCCTTTTCTGATGATCCAGCGCGCGGCAGGCTAAGGCCGGCTCGAAAGCTGCTTTGATATCCCCGACGTTCTTCCATTCACTGCGCTGAGCTTCAGCGTGCAACGTACCGTGACGTTGTCAACACCTCCAGCAAACACCTCTTCTTCACCGTCTTTCTTCTCGTAGTTACCAGCCCCACACAACCGAACCTTTCGTTTTCCGCTGCCTTGCTTCCGCACCATAACGGGCTTAACTGGAAGAACCTGATCGACGAGACCGTCTTTGACAAGCTTCTCAACTGCCTCCGAGGTGGTTGGCTCCACGGCACAACTTTCTTCTGTCAGCGACCGGTACTCGTTGTTAATGGCATCCAACCAAAGATCAGGCTCATTAAGAACCCCACTTTCGGAAACAATCCGGGTGTGGAGAAAGGCTTCTGAGGGAACTCTCCATCCCAGTACGAAACGTCGCCAAGGGATTCGAGAAACAGGCCAATGGTGGTCTTTTCACGTCCGGGTTGCGGAACGGAACACATGCGAGCTCTTCTAGCTCCACAAGCGTTTGCAACAAATCCCCTCATACCCGAAAGACCGTTTGATCTACCTCCCCAGCTCCTACTGCAAGGATGTCTCTCAATCCATCAAGGTTGGGGACAGCCTCCTATGCCTCTGAGGACGTTGAAGCTGCCGTAGGTGTAACTATCGCAGATGATGTGGGCAAAGTGCCTGCGACGAACCTGCATGTCCGACCAAATAATCCACCCTGACTGCGCTGGGCAAACGTGGGATCTATGCTGGAGTCGTCCCCAAGCTTCCACCTTGAAATCGCTGCCTCGAAGTCCGACTGTGGAGCATTACCGACCACTCTAGGGTGCTCGGAGCCATCAAGGCCCAACAATGAAAACAGAGACCCACGAGCAGTAGTCTTGTCAGTGGCAGTGCCCGACAATCCACACCAGGTGGCTACGTGGCCAATTTTCCTGAACGTTGCGACTTCGGCTTCCGTGGTACTAAGGGACATACACACTTCGACGGCAGCAATGGAAGCAGAGACATTTAAAGCAGATCGCACGGCCCCGCAGTCGACATGAACCATGAAGTCGAGCTGGTGGGCTTAGGCCAAAATTGCCAACGCCACCACCTCGTTCTAGCATGTGGGATTGCTTGTCCTGTTTCACACAAGTGTAGCAGCCTTCGTTTGAATCCCGCTTTCCTTCAGACTTTCTGCCTGGGAGCCCAACCTCAGCAAACTCATTCACCAACTCAGTGGCCATGCTTTCATCCCGTTCTTCCTCAAACAAGTTTCTGGCATCCTCCTCCAAATCTTCCAAAGTCCTACTTGTTTGGGTGGGGGGAAGATTCAAACCACAAACATGGCATGCACTCGCGAATCTCTCAACCTGACTCTCGCACACACCGTAAGAGCTTTCTCCGATTGCGTTTTGTTTTGTTCCAGGGACTCCCACTACCTGCACCGTAGGTAGCTGACACCCACGTTTTTCGAAGGCTAATTTGCTCCAAAGGGTGTTTTCTCTTTCAGCTTATATTTAGGCTTTGGGGCATCGCTTCCCGGCTCAATCATTGGAAACACCGTCCCAGCGACAACCAGCGATCCATCCGGAAGCAACACAACATACCCATCCGTGGTGCCTGGTGCGACCCCCAAAGCACGACCCTCAACTGTTTTTGCCGCCCATGCTGGTCTTCTGCCCGGCGCGTCTGCGTGGCGCTTTCCAGCTGCGGACGGTGGCCTGAACAGCTGTAGCCCATGGAAGAAGTGATTGTTGTGGCGTTCCCATGCTAGCGAGTTGCATCCTAAGGTCCCGCTCCGTGGCATGTCGCATGGCCAATGGCCGAAACTTCTTGTCCAATCGCGCCTGCAACAATTGACAGTCGAGCCCGTAATTTCGCCCAGCCGACAGGTGCTCGCGGCTCTATCGTTTTGTTGCTCCGACTCCCCGCTAGCACGGGAAACATCAATGGCTTGTTCATATAGAAAGGTTTTCAGCTTAAGTGGAATCAGCTCCCGCTCGCTGTCACAGTGCACTCGTGCAACATGCAATCCTGACGCTTTCAACCAAGCTACCCACGACATGAGATTATCCCTGACCTCGTCATGTTTACGAATTTTCATGGGAATTGCAAATCTGAGGGTTCTAATCGGAAGGGACTCAAGGGGTACTTTGCCTTCTTCTTGCGGCACTTCCTCTGTCTCTCTCTCCCCTCACGGCCCGTCCTCTCGGCCAGCGGAAATTGAATCTCTTCGTCGTCATCCCCATACGGATCTTTCACGGTGAGATGACTAAGATCGTCCTCCTCACCTTTATCACCCCCAGGTAAAAAGGCAGATATAGGACACGCTGCGTCATCCTCAAAACCGAACGGGAAAAGAGTTCCAAGGCAATTCCTTGTCAAAATATAATTACGGCGAGTGCTGCGGATGCACTGCTGACCTCTGCATCGCATGCCTGATCATAAGCCACGCCGTGTTTCCTCGGGTAGGGTGAAGTTTAGCTTTAGCCTTGCCCGGTGTAGATTCCAAGAGTGTATAGAGAATCGTCGAGCTGGTGCTGCTATGCCACAGCGCCGCCGACCGTTGCCACATCGCAGAAGCTCTTGGCTGATGCACCAAACCTCCTGCACCCTACGGGACTGTGTACGTGCAGTCTGCGACTGTTCGGTAGGTGTGGTTCCCATGTTGCACAATGGCGACGTGTTTCGCTTACACAGCAGGACCTACCCAGTCACGTAGAGTCATTTGCGACCGAGATGTGTTGTTAATGCCGAAGAAGCCGAAAAGAAGTGAGAACTGACAGTAGGTCATCGCAATACCACCTTGGTTTGGATATGCATATGCCCTGGCACGTGATGATAGTCCCTAGTAACACACACTTCGCATGTTGAATGCCATGGCATAGTCCTCATGAGCTGCGATCCCCCTTCAGCAAGCGGTTGAGCTTGACATGAGTTTGGAGATGTGTGTTGCCTTTGCTCGGCCTGGGGCTGCAAATTACCTTTCAGGGTATGCGGACGACGCACCTCGGCTGGTCACCTGGACCGGCCTTTCCGCGAGATGAGCATCTGGATCGGTACTGCATTGGCTTCGATGCGGGCTACCAGGCATTTCTTCTCCTCCCACGTAGGTCAACCCATCACAGAACAGACCTCTCCTCACTCACTGGCATACATCATTCCAGGCTTCGGATTTGTCCGGCTGCTCATTGGGGTCAAAGATGGCGCTGCTGCCACACTGGCTCAAGCCTCGCCACCCATGGATGGCTTTTCTCTCTAGTTTCGGATTTTGCCATGGGGACGGGAGTCTTGAACAGCGGACTACTCGCAGGTGCGGACAGAGTTTTCACGATCCTATTTATTCAAGAGTAGTTTTCGTGAGTGTGTGTGGAGTAACTGGACTAGCCCATGGGCTTCATGTGGAGAGCACTTTTCAGGTGACGTGGCTTCACAGCACAATCCAGCCAAAATGAGACATGCTGTACTCGATACTCGAAGTCCACGACGAGCCCGCAAACATTGCAGCCTGTAGCCTCGAATGAGGAGGGGATCTGACACCTGCAGATGTCTCAAAAGGCCTTACGAGGTCAACCCAAAATCCTATCCTCGAGAATTCACGAATCGTGCGTACAAAGAACACAGAGTGCCCACCCCTCTGCCGAAGACTGGCTTTTGCAGGCCCACCGCATGTGGGCAAACGCTCCACGTGCCCGTCGGAACCGGCTTGTGCGTCAGTGCAGACACCACGTCCGGGGCTTGGCACAGTGGCGTTGGCACTCGGGTAGATCCAGCAGGTAATCCGCTGGTCCTAGGTGCTGCGCTGTTTATGGTACTATGACTTTCTGTATCAATGGGGTAGTTCTGTGGTGAACAGACGGGCCTGCGGGCATGCGCTCGTGAGTTCGCCGTCTGTATATTGACACTGTTGAGTGGGGCGGGAAGAGTGCAAGCGCGTGTGGCTCGTGTAAAGATTACGGGAAGTTGTGCGGAATACCCATGGTTATCTATACATAGACATATATACATATTTGAATTAACGATATTTATAACTTGTCTAGAACCTGGCCTGTGGGTTGAGGCCCGCTGAGGAAGTGCTTCCTTGGGGCGGTCACGCAGGAGCTGACCTGCACGCGCAGTCGGATTTCGCTTTGCTGGGCTGGGGTGTGGCAGGTAAGTCTCTAGTTGGCGAACCAGTTCCTGACACTCTAGTCGGAGAGAGGCTGCGAGCACGACGAAGCATGTTCGCCTGGATT